TCCCCCGGTATCCCTCACACGAACCCCCAAAACGTGATCGGACTAATTGAGTGGCCAGGTGTCGACACTCGACAGCGAAAGAAAGCCGGAAATCACTGCCGAGCTGCGCTTTCCACTCCACAAGTGCTTCCGCGCTCTCTCGTCCACGTTGCTCTTTTTTGCCAAGGGCGTCAGCATTCCAATGTTGCCGAATTTATCCCGTTGGGATTTTATCTTGTCCAGGGTCTCTAACTGTCTGCCATCGGTGATGTCAATGATCGGCCTGCTGGTCGGCTAGACATCTTTAATTTTATCGGTAATCGATCTTGATTTTGTTCTGTTCAGTATGCAGAGATTCGGTTGATAAGCTTTAAATTCTCCACCACTGTTACATAAGTATTTCTAAAGAAAAACAAATGGACCGAGTTTATCAGAAAGGAACCAACCCACTTCAACTTAAATCTGAGAAAAAGAGGTTTCAAGCTGTATTAATGCTTAAGGCTCAATGTAGAAAATAAACCATAACCCCTTTTTTCACAGACTAACTTATTTTTATCGCTTCGCAGATTTTGGCATGCAGGAGAAAATAAACGACTTGTGGAACTCGATAACATTCTTAACTTAATTTTTTCGAAAATGTGGGTTGGTTCCTTTCTGATAAACTCGGTCCAAATGGTCATTGCTTTAAATGGTCACTGAATGATAAACAATCAATGAAAAAATTATTGACATTGATTCCTTTTTCAAGAGAATGTGGTGAAAAAATGTTTAACGCCGCAAATGACGCAAACACGTATTTTTGACGCCCATCATCGAAATGTTTCATTGCTGCGGTCGAAGACTGAATGAGGTTCGTCGAAGGTGCGAGCGTGACTGGTTTTCCAGTTTGGTTCGCTGAATCAGTGGCGTGGCGTGTTTTGCGATATATTGATTGATCTGCCATTTAAGCCTATGGAAAGGATCGATAAACAGGGTGTTCGCAGCGGACGCCTTAATAATCGATTCTTTATCATGGCTTCAAATGGGAAAATATCGATACTCGATCATTCACGCCACGCCACGCCACTGCGCTGAATCGGCGATTGATCACTCGTTCCAGTGGAGAGGCGTGCTTCGCAATGTATCGATTGATCTGTCATTTAAACCCATGGAAGAGGATCGATAAACAAGGTGTTCGCAACGACCACCTTAATAATCGATTTTTTATCATGGTTTCAAATGGGAAAAAATCGATAATCGATCATTCACGCTTCGCCACTGATTCGCTAGTGTCTCGAGGGTGAACTCTACTATCGTAAAGAACGAACAATAGAAGTCAATTTTCTCAAGCGAGAAGTTCTTTTTTGATTCCTGGACCAAGAGCAAAACTAAAAACTTCCTTGGTTCTCTTCTCGTCAGGGGTGGAGACTCGAATCCTTAATAGTCCCTATTTTTTTCACGATGCCCTCACAGGCGGATCAGTGGCGTGGCGTGCTTTGCGATGTATCGATCGATATGCCGTTCAAACCTATGAAAAAAGATCGATTATGAGGGCGTTCGCTACAAACACCTTAATGATCGATTTTTTACCATAGCTTCAAATGGGATAATATCGATAGTCGATTATCACGCCTCGCCCCTGAGACGGATTACTGACATATTCGACCACGGATATTTTCCTTCATTATTGAATGCTCAAATAATTGATTTTACAATCACGAGAAATTGTCAACAGAGATGCTATCATCATGACCTGTTCGTAAAAAAATACCTTGCTGCTGTGGTAATGTCAAAATATCAACATCAACAAAAACACTGGAGCCTGTTCAGGCTCATACTGGAAAATAATCAGAATTTCAATATTACACGGAGAAAAAAACTTCGTGCGTGTGACCCGAAGTTGAGGTCATATGGATCTCTGAAGTTTTCGGATCACGTATCTTAAAAATTGAGGCCCAGCTGCCTAAGTTCGAGTCAGACATCTGAAGTACTTCGATGTATACCGAAAGGTTCGGGTCACACATCTGAAATACTCCGGTACATACCGAAGTGCCTCGATGCCAGACCCAACTTCGGCAGCTGGACCTCAAGTTTTCGGATGCGTGATCCGAAAACTTCAGAGATCCATATGACCTCAACTTTGGGTCCCATGCACGAAGTTTTTTTCTCAGTGCTAGAATATTTGACTATTTGCCTGGGCATTAGACAAAATGCCTGATTTTACTATTTGCCTGCGACATATGTATGTAATTCCGCATCATTTCTCGACGTGTTAAGGTTCCTGGAGTCAAAATAACCATACTTGAAAAACGTCCGTCAGGCATCCCCCATATCTATGTACAGCCATTTCTCAGAATCTATCTGTTCAATTTTATTCAAAAGCGTGGAAAACCACATCTATGGTCTCTTCATGCACGGCAAACGATTTTGGGGTAGGCTAAAATTTGGGGGGGGGGGCCTAGAGGCCAAACATGATTCTTATCAAAATCACCTGGAAAGCTCACTGTTTTTTCTGAGCATTTTCTGAAGGAGGGTATTCAAGTGTGAGGGACGGTAGATCTTTCTCCTCGTCCTAGTTTGAATTGAGAAGTCCTCGAAAAATAGCCCCGCCTTTTCTGAGAATGAATGCTGCTGTGCTAAGGGAAAACGCCGTATGAACCCTCAGGCGTTGCCAAATTTCCTTTGATAGAACACAAATTTCTTGGTAAACTTATGAATATTTTCTTTCCAATTTTTCAGATAATTTTGTTCGCAATTTAACCTAAAGTCCTTGATAATTTCCATGAAAAATGTTCATATCGATCCTCAAAAATGAACATTTTATCGAAGGAAATTTGGCAACTCTCGAATGTTCATACGGCGTTTTTCCTCAGCACGGCAGAATGTGGAGGAGGAGTGGAGACGGCGAGGTAAGTTGAAGGACCTCTTTAAAATTCGGGACTCAACGGCCGCGTGGGCAGAAACGCCGGCGAATTTTGAGTTTCCCAACAAAGCCCTGAACTCTTTCACGGCATTAGCGAGAGTTAAAATTCAAACGGCGGCGGCAGTTTTCAAAATTGCAGAACGTGACATTTTTAGCAAATCTAGGTCTCTCCTGGGTAAAGTATTTACTGTACGTACAATTCGCAATTATTTTTTTTTTAATTAAAATATGAAAACTTCTTTGACTGTGAACTTCGAAACCGACGTGTTGGGGCTCCGTTTAGTAATTTTAAGAATTTAAACTAGTCTCGAAACTTCACCTGGCATTGATACTATTAATAGTTATAATAACAGTTCTGACTTCTTTGTCTTTATTTATTTTTTTAATGAATAACGTTAATAATTTAAGCTTCTGAACTATCTAATTTATTGATGTAAATACATGAGAATATATAAGGTTAATAGTTATTTTTATAATAAAGATACCTACAATCTTTTTGCATATATGACCACCAAAAGTTCACTTAGAATCGCCGAAGTTAGCAGAGTTGGCTGGGATATTTAGTCAATGACGTTTTTTTGCGTATTAAAAAACAAGCAAAAAGGAACTTCACCCACACTTGAGAGTTGATAAAATTGTATCATGCTGTTCAAACTGGAAACGATTCATGTTGGATTGGAAGGAAGAACTTCAATTACATGCGAGTTGCACTGGCGTGGCGTGAATTGGGATGTATCGATTGTTATGCCATTTCAACCTATGGTAAAGAATCGATTATTGGGGTGTTCGCTGCAAACACCCTGTTCATCGATCCTTTTTCATGGGGTTAAATGGCATAACAATCGATATATAGCAAACCACGCCTCGCCACTGGGAAGTTGATTGTTCGTGGAAGTGTCGCTTCCCAGCTTTCATCATGTCGTCATCTTCCACGCCTTTTGCGAAAAATCCTATTTCACCACAAACTGAAAACGAAATTTTCTACAAAATGTGATTTATTTGTTTACGTTCCATCGGATCTTACTCTTGCTGTTATTATCTCTTCGAAGTAAAAAGTAACTGCCCAGGTTTTCTTATGTGCCTTTTCTCTTCTTTTTTACAGATTTGAGCTTATTTTCTTTTCACGCACTGTCCTTTACTTTCGTCGTTTTCTATTTCATCGCTCCTTCTTAACATTTTATTGTAAGTACCTAAACATCATAAATTATTTTTTCCATAATGTTTTTTTTACATATGTTATTACTCCATGTTTATAGCGTTATTCATCCTCACTTCGTTGAAGCGGTGTCAAGGTGGATTTTTGTAATTTCTGGACAAATTACCGGAAATACATTTTAAGGCAGACAGCATTCAGAGAGTATCCAAAAATTCAAATTTTAAAATGAAAGTAATAAAATTTCATTTAAGGTACAAACCACAGCAAGAGAATGACGGCAAGACCAAATAATGTTTCCAAAGTGTTTTTGAAGGGTCATGAACAATTCTAGCTGGCGCGCAATTCAGCTTTGCAATCACCACTGAAAAAAGTCAAAGCAGGAAATCGAAAAGGCCAGCGTGCATGGAGGCTATTTCAATTGTAATCTTCCGTCACATTCTTACGGCGCAATGATACAACTATTTGAACTCTCCGGAATGCGTGAGGTATCACGTCGCATTTGAAGGCGTTTTCAAAACAGCCAAGTTCCGATACCCGAATTATCGTTTTGCATAGTTCATATTATTTTGTTATATTCCGTACCACTTGTTTATTTTTAATCCTCGTATAAAAACCACCCATTTGCTAAATAATTGTACCGATTATTTCCCAAATTATGTATGCACCAATTTCTATTTTGGTATTAGAGGAGTTGTTTTTTCTTTGTTTTCTCTTGTATAATCAATCACGTCTGATTTTAAAACAGCCCTCTGAAAGAATATACAGTTTTTTGAAGTCGACGATTTTCAACAAATTGAATAAAACGGGGTTTCATGTTTTTCTCGCATTCGCAAATTTTGAGGCTTACGTGATTTTTTTTTTCTTTTTCTTTTTTTTTTTTTGGTGACCATGAGAAAAAATGGGAAATCTTTGCGAAGATATGACAGTTAGACTGCATTTTGCAATTTGGAACTATAAATTCTAGCCCGGTTTAAAAACAACGTGTGTTCCATTAGTTTCCCTATTCACATAAGTGTTTTTCCAGAAGAACCAGAATTTATAGTTCCAAATTGCAAAATGCAGTCCAATTCAATTTTGACTCTTAATTTGCATATTGAATTCATGAGGTCATGTCCGACCCCTAAGATTGTCTCGCTCCACCGTGCTGCTGTGCTAAGGAAAAACGCCGTATGAAAATTCAAGAGTTGCCAAATTTCCTCCGATGAAATTATTATTTTGGAGGAAAATTATGAATATTCTTCCTTGAAATTTTCAGAAGTTTTAGATCAAATTACAAACTAAATTATCTGAAAAATTGGTAGATAAATATTCAAAAAAAATTCCGACAATTAGTGATTTGCCAGGGGAAATTTGGCAACGCCTAAAGGCCTATACGGCGTTTTTCCTTATTTTTGCGGAAAAATATGAATATTCTTCCTTGAAATTTTCAGAAGTTTTAGATCAAATTACAAACTGAATTATCTGAAAAATTGGTAGGTAAATATTTTAAAAAAAATTCCGGAAATTAGTGATTTGCCGGGGAAATTTGGCAACGCCTTAAGGCCCATACAGCGTTTTTCCTTTGCACGGCACCGTGCGTTGCACCTGAAAAGGTCGGGAAAAAGTTTGCTCATCATGTGACTTCTCGGTGTAGTTTCCTCGAATATTCATCCAGGGTCATCGTCCAATACAGTGGCGTGGCGGGAATGATCGATTATCGATATTTCCCCAATTGAAGCCATGGTAAAGAATCGACAATCAAGGTGTTCTTTGTGAACACCCCATGTATCGATTCATTTCCATAGGTTTAAATGGCACATCAATCGATATATCGCAAAGCACGTCACGCCAATGGTCCAATGCGTACGCTCCTGGAGAGTAGGGAAAGTTCAACTACACGAGAATACGTATGAACGAGACCGTCTGTTCCTCGAAACCACTTCAGACAGTTATGAGAGTTTTCGTTGTTGCGCTACTCAACGTGAAATTGAGTTATTTCATGACGTTTTTGGCTCCACGGTCGCGTTATATCCTTACTAAACGTGACAATGTTCCGACGTTTGCTTCTTGATGAAACTACACGGAGGAAAAAGAATCCTTCCTCCTACAATACTCATAATCTATTCCAGGCACTCCCTACACTGGAAAAAAACACATTGGATCTAGAGTCCAGACTCTTAAAAACATCGACAAGAAAAAGTACTCTTGATTCAATCAGAATCTAGCTTAAATCAAGAGCCGAGCCTCTTAATTTAAGTGGATTTCCTTTTGATTCAAGCAATAATCCGATTGAATCAAGAGTATTTTTTCTTGTCAATGTTTTCACGAGTCTGGACTCTAGATCCAATGTGTTTTTTTTCCAGTGTACTCTCTCTTTTTTATGAGTTATAGAATTATCTGCATTTAATACATAAAGGTCGCTTTACCTATATCTTCTTTGTCTATAGCTTTGTCTATCAATTTTAACAATCATCTCGCTGTCTATAGCTTTGTCTATCAATTTCAATAATCTGCCCGCAGATGGCAACGCCGTTTCTTCGCCATTTAATTCTATTATGAAAAATCGATTTTTGGTGGAATATCCTGCCTTATTAAGAGTCGATTCATATCGATTGTTCTACATAAATTCAAAGGATTCAATGACGCCCAGTATTGCTTACAATTAAGAATTACTACTGCAATGGCGTGGCGTGTTTTGCGATATATCGAATGATTATCATTTAAACCTTTGGAAAAGTATCGATAAGCAGAGTGTTCGCAGCGAACAACTCAATAATCGATTATTTACCACAGCTTCAAATAGGGAAATATCGATAGATCGCAAAGCACGCCACGGCACTGATTAGTATTATTAATTTAGTGCGCTTCCACATACAGGAAAAATACACTTTGCTTATAGAATAAAATGCAGTTGAGTAAATAGAAAACCGAGTAGTATTTGTCAAATTTTTAAAAGAGTTTACACTATGGAATCTCAATAAATTAAAATACCTACTTTTCTAAGTAAATTAAAATACCTACTTTTCTAAGTAAATTAAAATACCTACTTTTCTAATCGTAATAATGCTGTCGTCTAGATCTGTGGAAAAAATTATTTTGATTTCATGAACAATGCCACATGATCGGAGGCCCGGACAAATAAGTGCATTATAAACGTGACTCCAGAGCCAAAAGCATCCCGTGATGACCCTCCCTCACCTCTAAAAAGGCAGAAAACCTTGAATGTTTCTCCAACCGAAATATTTCAATTTTTTGATTTCAAGAGACTTTTCGATGAAATTTTCGATGACACAATTTTCACGGATAATCATGTAAAAAAGCGAAATTCTAAAACCAAAAGCGTCCAGAAATGACCTTCTCTCAACTCTGAAAAGACAGAAAATCTTGCTGTGGATCCTTGAGTTTTCCCCAACCAAAATATCGCAACTTTTCAATTTTGAAGACTTCTTAGTAACAATTTACGTGATGCACGGAGAAAAAAACTCGTGCGTGGGACCCGAAGTTTAGGTCATAAGAATCTCTGAAGTTTTCGGATTGAGCATCTGAACACTTTCAGTCCAGCTGTCGAGGTTCGGACCACACATCTGAAACTTCAGTTCTTACACCTGAAGTACTTCAGTTGTGGGAACCGAAGTTTTTCGGATGTGAGAACCGAAGTTTTTCGGATGTGAGAACCGAAGTTTTTCGGATGTGAAAACCGAAGTACTTCAGATGTAAGAACTGAAGTTTCAGATGTGTGATCCGAACCTCGACGGCTAGACCTAAAGTGTTCAGATGCTATGTCCGAAAACTTCAGAGATCCATATGACCTAAATTTCGGGTCCCACGCACGAGTTTTTTCATTCCGTGTGTAATTTTCACGAAAAGTGTAGAAAAGAGGAGAGACCGTGGAAAAATCAAGACACTTGATGTTCAAAATCCCTGTAAAGCGGAGGGATGTTGAAGCCCGATAAAATTTGTCACCCTGTTCATACAGGAGTCAGGGAAATGCTCGGAGGACTGTCTAAGGGCGACGGAGAATTCACCGGTGACGAATCGTCAGGGGTCGAGGTGGCGATTTCCCGGGGGTCGGACGGGGTGATGGGAGGGGGGCGGGGGGTATCGATGCACCCCGCCGAAGATTGATGGCCTCACTCCGCTTGACAGAGCATTCAACTTGGCCGTAGTGGCGAGGCGTGGAAGATCGATAATCGATATTCCCCCATTTGAAGCTAAGGTAAAGTATCGATTATTCAGGTTTTCCTTGCGAACACCCAGTTTATCGATCCTTTCCCATAGACTTAAATGGCAGATCAATCGATACATCACAAAGTACACCACGCCACTGGCCGCCGTATCCGTATCGGCGACCGAAATCGCGCGCGCTCAATGTGTCGGCTATTGTTGCCAGATACTGCTGAAAAACACTATACTTCCCCTCGTTCACACGCATCATGTAAAATGTCCTTGTTTGTCGTACAATCTGGCATCGTTTCTACATCCCCTACTACGACATCGGTTCGGAATCGGAACACATCCCCGAATCCCCGAACCGCATCGCGGCGCGGGAGGGACAGTGGTAGGGGGAGGGGGAGGGGATTGATGTTTTGGTCGCGACCGATAGTGTGAGTGTCCGTTGCACTGTCAAGGGCGAGGTCACGTCGACGCGGCAGAAGTTGCAGAATCTCGGGGGTTTTGTCGCAGTGGCGTGGCGTGTTTTGCGATGTATCGATTGATCGGCCATTTAAACCTATGGAAAAGTATCGATACATGGGGTGTTCGCAGCGAACACCTTAATAATCGATTTTGCATGGAGTTCGCATGGAGTTGCACGCCTAGTTTGCACGGAGAGTTTGTCTTAATGTCACATCAAGACAAGCTCTCTATGCAAATGGACCTATTTCTACCAAACAGACCTATGTGGAAGTGAGAAATATGGGGTGTGCTCGTCGAAGCAGCATAAGAAGCAATGTAAAAGTGGGCGTGATTCCTTTTGAAGAATTGGGAAAGCGGGATTTTACATTCTATCAAACAGACCTATGTGCCAACTGAATGCGGAACTCATGAG